TATGCAGACTACTGCAATACTGTAATAATTGTACAAATAACATCAACCCATTCATGATTGCATATTCGAATGGCTAGTTGGACATTTATTGGATAATGATGTCATTTGTTTAGTTTTGAACATCGGCAAAAATCAAACATTTCCCTACTTTGAGCTCCATTTCCAGGTTCTTTTTATAGTAAAATCAATCAAAATCATCTCTTTTTCCATAATATGCTTTCCATTCTATCAAATGAGACCAAGAAAACGAGAATACAACCATAAATGCTATACAAAAATAGACCACAAAGTCGGCATTTTAATTAAAAAAAATGGTCGGAGTTTTTTTTTTCTCATTATGCACTGCATGCTCCAGGATTTTTTTTATGTGGTGCACACTGACCACACAGACCCATTCTCTCACATGTGGGCCTACCAGCTTTCTCCTTGATTTGAAGCCGCTAGAATTTATGAGTATATATACGTCAAACACGGTACCTCGTAAGACGTATATATACGGCCGCGACAGTCAAAGGGTTAAAATTAAACTTACTGAACATCCCGTCTCTAACTTTAGTGATGCAGTTTCCTACCCCTGAGTTAATACTAGTTTGAACCTCTGTGATGTTATGATCAGAGTAAATAGTTTTGGAAACTGTCATGTCTCTGATCAGTTCCTCGTTGTTTGTGAATATCAAATCCAGAGTATTTCATTTCTAGTGGGATAAATTACCTTTTGGTTTAAAGAGTACTTTTCACAAAACCTCATTATTTCCCTGGTATGTACCTGTTGAGCCAGGGTGCTTCCCGGAGATATTTCTGGTATAACATTATGTTGTGCCATCTTCCATTTTACATGAGGGAGATTAAAATCTCCAAGGAGTAAAATATTTGGTGTAGGATTTTCTAGCCTATCCAGATAGCTATCTATCTTACTTAACTGATCTGTGAATTCCTCAGCAGTTGCCGATGGTGGTTTGTATACTGTACTAGTATAATTACCAAATTCCTATTTTCAACTTTAATGCCTAGAATTTCTACTACATCATTCGTAGAACTCAGCACTTCTGTGCAGCAGAAAGTATCCTTTACATAGATTCCTACTCCTCCCTGTGACCTATTGATTCTATCACATCTATACATGTTGTAGTTTTCTATCTTTATCTCTCCGTCCAAAACATCCCTTGTATGTGTTTCTGTAAATGCTCCAAACATGGCATTCGCTTCTGTCAGGAGCCCACTGACATAACTAACTTTGTCATTTTTATTTGATTTCAAACCCTGCATATTTGCAAATATGAAGCAGAATTACCAAGTGGGATGTTTTGTCTCGCTTTGTGTTTCATTAGTACCACTGGTGGTGTACTACCTGGTATGTCCCCTGGTTTACACGCCCCTGGTTTCTCCAGTACAGGCTTCCCGTTTGTTTGCTTATTCGGCCTTGACGGGCTGATGCCTGGTTTGGTACGCCTCATTTTACTGCCCACCTGTCCTCTCTGTACCATTACCCCTGTTTCTCTCTTCCTTTCTTTTGATCATTTCTCTTTTTGTCTAAAAAAGAATGTTGTTCAATTTCCCTTTCTCTGCTAACTCTGTAGCGCCACGTTCCTTTTACACGATGGTCTGGGCAGCTCAGGTCATAACATTCTCTGGACTGCATTGAAGCTTTACACATTACTGGATGGAAGTAATTGCTGCACTCATTGTTGAAACGACACTTTCCCTTCCTCAACATGTTCGCACATTTTCTGGTGTGTTTATTCCAACAATCTCTGCCATATAGGCACATACCTTTAGCACAGTAACTGCAAATGTTCTGACTACCTATATTTATTGATTCTGTGTCATTCCTAAGTCCTGCTCTTCTTCATTCCTAAAAGATAGTATACCTCCTTGGCCAGTGCATGAAATTACCGCCTCCCTTTCTTCGTCAACATTTAAAAGTTCCTCAAAATATTCCCGCCATCTACCCAATACCTCCATCTCCCCATCTACTAACTCCCCTACTCTGGTTTTAACTGACAAATCCATTTGTTCCCTAGGCTTTCTTAACCTGTGTATCTCACTCCAAAATTTTTTTTATTTTCATCAAAATTTCTTGACAGTGTCTCTCCCACTCTATCATCTGCTCTCCTTTTGCACTCTCTCACTACTCTCTTCACCTTTCTTTTACTCTCCATATACTCTGCTCTTCTTATAACACTTATGCTTTGTAAAAACCTCTCATAAGCTACCTTTTTTCTCTTTTATCACACCCTTTACTTCATCATTCCACCAATCACTCCTCTTTCCTCCTGCACCCACCCTCCTACAGCCACAAACTTCTACCCCACATTCTAATACTGCATTTTTAAAACTATTCCAATCCTCTTCAACCTCCCCACTACTCATACTTGCACTAGCCCACCTTTCTGCCAATAGTTGTTTATATCTCACCCGAACTTCTTCCTCCCTTAGTTTATACACATTCACCTCTCTCTTACTTGTTGTTGCCATTTTCCTTTTGTCCCATCTATCTCTTACTCTAACTGAAGCTACAACTAAATAATGATTCAATGTATCAGTTGCCCCTCTATAAACATATACATCCTGAAGCCTACCCATCAACCTTTTATCCACCAATATATAATCTAACAAACTACTTTCATTACATGCTATATCATACCTTGTATATTTATTTATCCTCTTTTTTCATAAAATATGTATTACTTATTACCAAACCTCTTTCTACACATAGCTCAATTAAAGGCTCCCCATTTTCATTTACCCCTGGCACCCCAAATTTACCTACTTCTCCCCTCACAATATTTTTACCCACTTTAGCATTTAAATCCCCAACAACAAGTACTCTCACAATTGGTTCAAAACTCCCCACACACTCACTCAACAATTCCCAAAACCTCTCTCTCTCCTCTACACTTCTCTCTTCTCCAGGTGCATATACACTTACTATAACCCACTTTTCACATCCAACCTTTATTTTACTCCACATAATCCTTGAATTAATACATTTACACTCTCTCTTATCCTGCCATAACTTATCTTTCGACATTATTGCTACTCCTTTTTAGCTCTAACTCTATCTGAAACCCCTGACCTAATCCCATTTACTCCTCTCCACTGAAACTCTCCCACCCCCTTCAGCTTTGTTTCACATAAAGCCAGGACATCCAGCTTCTTCTCATTCATACCATCCACAATCATCTCTCTCTTATCATTTGCACAACATCCACGCACATTCAGACATCGCACTCTGACAATTTTCTTCTTCTTTTTAGTAATCTTTACAAGATAAGGGGTTACTAGCCCATTGTTCTTGGCATTTTAGTTGACTTTTACAACACGCATGGCTTACGGAGGTAAGATTCTTATTCCACTTCCCTATGGATATAAAATTAAAAATAATAAGACCAAGAACTATTAAAATAAAATCAAAGAAAACTCAGATGAGTGTGTATAAATAAACATGTACATGTATGTGTAGTGTGACCTAAGTGTAAGTATTATTATTATTATTATAATCAAGGGGGAAGCGCTAAACCCAGAGGATTATACAGCGCCTGGGGGAGGATGTGGAAGGCATTCAGGCTTAATTCGGGGAACTGGAGCACAGATCCAATTCCCTAAATCAAGAGCCCCTCACCAACATCAAGGAACCTTCCTTGAGGGCTAAGTGTAAGTAGAAGTAACATGATGTACCTGTAATCTTGCACATTTATGAGACAAACAAAAGACACCAGCAATCCTACTATCATGTAAAACAATTACAGACTCTTGTTTTACACTCACTTGGCAGGACGGTAGTACCTCCCTGGGTGGTTGCTGTCTATCAACCTACTACCTATACTTTTTTCATATTTCACATTTTTTTTTTTTTCAACATGTCAGTCGTCTCCCAGCGAGGCAGGGTGACCCAAAAACTAAGAAAATCCCCAAAAAGAAAATACTTTCATCATCGTTCAACACTTTCACCTCACTCATACATAATCACTGTCCATAAAGAAATTTCAGTGACCATCTAATAACTTGGCTGGTAGGTCTACTTGTAGGTTTACTAGCCAACTGTTCCCAGCATTTTAGTTGACTTTTACAACACGCATGGCTTATGGAGGAAAGATTCTTATTCCACTTACCCATGGATATGAAAGGAAAAGCAATAAGAACAAGAACTATTAAGATAAAATCAAAGAAAACTCAGGTGTGTATACATAAACATGTACATGTATGTGTAGTGTGACCTAAGTGTAAGTAGAAGCAGCAAAATGTACCTGAAATCTTGCATGTTTATGAGACAGAAAAAAGACACCAGCAATCCTACCATCATGTAAAAGAAATAAAGGCTTCCTTTTTACACTCACTTGGTAGGATGGTAGTACCTCCCTGGGTGGTTGCTGTCTACCAACCTACTTCTTCTTTCAACACACCAGCCATATCCCACCAAGGCAGGGTGGCCTAAAAGGAAAAATGAAAGTTTCCTTTTATATTTAGTAATATATACAGGAGAAGGGGTTACTAGCCCCTTGCTCCCGGCATTTTAGTCGCCTCTTACAACATGCATGGCTTATGGAGGAAGAATTCTGTTCCACTTCCCCATGGAGATATGAGGAAATAAACAAGAACAAGAACTAGAAAGAAAATAGAAGAAAACCCAGAGGAGTGTGTATATATATGCTTGTACATGTATGTGTAGTGTGACCTAAGTGTAAGTAGAAGAAGCAAGACGTACCTGAAATCTTGCATGTTTATGAGACAGACAAAAGACACCAGCAATCCTACCATCATGTAAAACAATTACAGGCTTTCGTTTTACACTCACTTGGCAGGACGGTAGTATCTCCCTGGGCGGCTGCTGTTTACCAACCTACTACTTTTTTAAAAAAAATTACATGAAGTGTAATAAAATCTAAGTGATTAGACATTTTGCTCTAAAACAGTAATGGATTTTGTCAAAATCTTTTAATTAAAAATGATATTTTGCTCAATGAGAGAAGCATTGTTTTCAATAAAGGTTTGCTGTCTCTACTTATCTTTAATTCACACTTTACTAAACTTTTACAACATTAGAGGGCATTAGTCTTACTATTGGTTCAGGCCGATCTGGAGCAATAGTCTGGGTACTATCCCTGGTGATCCGTTGGGCTGTTTGTGCTACAGGAATGGAAGGAATGGTGGTACGTTGGACTGGAGTAGGAGGTATCACTGGACGTAAAGTACTCTCACCAGCAGAGGCAAGACGTGGCAGGGGAATGGCACCTGCTGGTATTGTTTCTCCATCGCTGCTGACTGATGAAGAGGAGCTGTGGCGAGGTAATGCAACAGGTTGCCCAGCAGCCTGATGCTGTAACACACTTTCTAAAGATTTACGAAAGGATCGGGAAGAATCCCCATCCTCTCTTTCCATCTTACCATCCACTATAAAACCTATGGGACCTGGTCCTTCCCCAGTGTCTTTTTTCCGCAAGACAACTTCACTCTCATCACAATTTATATCAGTCTCCTTACAAGTATGAATTTGCTCAAATCCAAGAGGAACTACTTTTGTTTCAGTCTTATACTCTGAATATTGTTGGGCTATTGCTGACCTTTCTAGATGTTCAACAGTAGGAGGGCTAGGTCTGGGAGGTTTAGTAGGGGCTCCAGGAGGTTTGGGAGGTTCTGCAGTTGGTCTCCTGATACTATTGCTATGGTGAAGTCTGGCAGCAGGCGCTGGCACCAAGATCTGTGACATGGTTTCTCGAGGTGGGGTATTACTTCGAGCTTGTTCTGGTGAACCTGAGGCACTGTTTGTGCTCCCTCCTGATATTTGCCCATCTTGGCTGCCTATACCAAAGGATCCATGAGTGCTTGATGGTCTAGCTTGTGGAGGTCTAGGTGCTTGCTTTTTCTTTGTTCTCTGTGGCTGCTTGGGGCTTTCACATGAGTCAGATGTTGTGGGAGCAACAATTAACGAAGCGCTCATGCTATCTATACGGCTAGATAGATCTGAACTGGCATTACGCCGGTGGGTTTGGGGTGCCGGTCGACCATGCTGAGCCGGCAGAGGTAAAGAGCCATTAGGCTCAGTGTGAAGTCTCGAGGGTGAAGGAGGCACTCGTGGTATTACGCCAAAATCTATGTCCTCCTTAAAGAAGTAATCACTATATTCCACAAGATGGTCAACAATGGACCGATAGTCACTGGTAAGGCTCATGTTACGGCCCAGGGTAGACATATCTGGTTGCTCCTCAGAATCCCGCTGATCCCATATCAGGTTAGGAGCCATAACTATAGCAATGTTGCTTGGGGACATTTTATTACAACTAGAATTGGCTGCCAATTTAGCTAGGAACTTCACAAGGTATCTAAGATTGGCCAAATTGGCAGGTGGGAGCTGGTTCACAACAAGCCATAGGGCTTTGAGACGTAGCTGGTGATCAGTCTGCCTCACAGCTTCTAACCACTGATCATGGAGAAAATGTGTTAAAAGGGGTTCTGGTAACTCTCGCAGGTAGCACTTGAGTGTGCCTGCAACGACGTGGACGTCATAGTCACGATCATGTTCATCCACTTGAGCTAGAGCTTCATTCGTAACCAAGTTTGCATCAAAGGCTCCCTTGAGGCGGCGTACCTTGGAAGTGCTACCAGCCACTCGAAATAGACCCTCTTCAAAAAGGCCAATTTCTACCAGACGCCGCACACACACTTGCAAAGGGACAGCTATTTCCTAAAGAGAAAGAGAAAACACATACATTACTTGACTGATATAAAATTACTTAAGACCTATACATGATCAGATGTTTCATGCTATTTATATATTGGTTTAAAATACTGAATTTGCAGAGTATTTTATGTGGTTTAATAGTTTTATTCTCGGTTTCTTGGTCTCACTTGATGGAATGGAAGATATATTACTGAAATAGAGATGGTTTAGATTGGGCTCAGGACAGTAAGTAGCTTGAAATTCAGCTCAAAGTAGCAGAAATATTTGATTTTTGCCAATATTCCAGAGAAAGCAAATAATTTCATTTGTCCAATGCACGTCCAACTAGTCGGTCTAATATGCATTCACAAATGCACTGACTTTATTTATACAATTATAATAATGCATAACAGTAAATCTTCTATTTGTGTGAATAAAAATTCAAAATGGAAAACAAGTGTAATACAAGAGAGGCCCAGAAATGTAACTAATGAACATAGGAAATGTTATTTTAGTGCCAGGAATGCCTGCCGTGTTTAATCGAGACCCTACTTTGAAATGGGCATACACCTACCATCCGACTTACGACCTGCTTGACATACGTCCACTCGACTTACGACCGTGCATCTGGCAGCTGGGCTGGGCCGGCTGATGCACACCACTGTACAATATTTGACAATACTCGAGGCGGCAATGCGTCATGCAGGCAGCATCAGTTTGAGTAACACTGTCCTATCAGCAGCATCATACTGTATTAACTGTACTAACTGGACAGTAAATTTCACCATGGCCCCTAAGATGAAGTCTGTGGCAAGAAAGGCTCTTACTCTCAAACTCTCTATTTGTTTTCACTGTTGCACATAAACCTGTCTGTATCTGCCTGCCTATATATCTGTGTATCTCTGTGTGTGTGTATCTCAGTCTACCTGTGTATCTGTCTTTCTGTTTACCTGTGTCTATGTCTACCTGTGTGTGTCTTTCTGTCTACCTGTGTGTCTGTCTACTTGTGTCTTTATGTCTACCTGTGTGTCTGTGTCTACCTGTATCTGTCTGTCTCTGTCTGCTTGTCTGTCTCAGAGCCACTCATTAAGAGTGTACTTGGTCTTGAACATGCCATATTAATAATGATAATAACACAATAAAAATCACTGAGGCGCATTAAATGTGTATAAAACGTTGATATAGACATTTTGCTTAAACCATCTATGATTTCTTTTTCAAAATTATATAATAAACATGCTACATAACATATAAACATATAAATTAACAAATATGAGATGTTTTTATGGTCGACTTGACAGAGTGAACAGGAATCATCAGTGTCCGGGCTGGTAACAACAACAACGTTTGTTTACATAACTCGCCAACCTTCTGCACACTCATTCGTTTATTCATTTAATCTTGTTTACTCACCTCTCACTCTACATTAAGACTACAGATATTTTAAGGTAAGTAATGAGTGGACACGATTATTATATTATAGTTTAATAATAATAATAATATTTTTAATATTAATACACCTACCATCCGACTTACGACCAAGCTTGGTTCCGACCAACTGGTCGTAAGTCGAAATGGACGTAAGTCGAACCTTTGAAAATTGCCGACATATTGGGTAGGGCATAATGTCAAAACTTTCCTATATAAACTACCTACATAATACATCTACCATCCGACTTACGACCTGCTCGACTTACGACCACTTGACTTACGACCGTGTTTTTTATGCCAAATTTCTGGGAAATAAACAACTATTTGTGTTGTACACAGTGTTTATCCTAAACCTTACAGTATAAAATACAGTACTAACAACATAAAAAGTAAAGTAAAACATGAAATACCAAAATAAAACAATAAAATAAAGTCATTACAAAAATGTTTTGTTGATATTCAGTAGTAAAGTTCGACTTACGACCATTTCGACTTACGACCGGTTTCTCGGAACCGAACTCGGTCGTAAGTCGGATGGTAGGTGTACTGTAATGTAATGTACAATCATTATTTCATTCTTTTTACCATAATTTACTTCTATTGCTGTATTTTAATTATTTATGTACTGTATATAATGTATACATGGTAGTGATATGTATTGTAAATTTTACATCACATACAGTATCATATGTTACTATTATCTTCATGCATTGTCGACACAGTGGAATGAGAGAATAATACCACTGGTAGTGTCATCCTGCCAGAATGTTGTGTAACTTATACCCTAAGTAAAGAGAAACAACTCTGGAACGTGTGTAATACGTATCCGGCTGGCTGGCCAGGTGTGTGGTTGGCCAGGTGGGTGGGTGGCTGGCCAGGTGGGTGGCTGGGTGGGTGGCCAGAAGGGTGGGTGGGTGGCTGGATGGGTGGGTGGGTGGGTGGGTGGTGGATGGGTGGGTGGCTGGGTGGGTGGCTGGATGGGTGGGTGGTGGATGGGTGGGTGGCTGGGTGGGTGGCTGGATGGGGGGTGGCTGGGTGGGTGGATGGGTGGGTGGGATGGGAGGCTGGATGGGTGGGTGGGTAGTTGGCTGACTGGCTGACCGAATGTGGCTGTCTCTGTATCTCTCTGTATCTCCCCTCTGTATCTCTCTTTTGTATCTCTCTCTGTATCTCTCTCTCTCTCTCTCTCTCTGTATCTCTCGGGTATTTTTTTTTTTCTTTTTTACACAGGGTTTGACAAGGTTAAGGACCCTAGCTTTATTGACAGCTATTTACAGGTTAAGGATTCCTAACTTTATTGGCAAGCTAAGAGCTGTTACCTACATCAGCTCATTTGAAAGCATTTTTATTGTTATGAGACATACAAGTATGGGACAGGATAAAGTTGGAGCCATCTGTGGGCCAGCATTTTCATTTGATCAACTGACGTTATCTCGTTGACATCCATTATGCTTTTCGAATGTGTTCCATACTCGAGTCATCCATGGGTATGTATGATCCAGATGGAGTGATGTTCTGGAGAAGGGTACAGCCAGAGTGAAGTTGCTGCTTTTTTTGGCCCGTCTTGTGGCATAAAAGCTTGTTTAAACCGTTTGTCCTCGAAGTGGATCCAAGTGTGGTATTTTTGACAATTTTGGGCCTTGTACATAACAGTAAGGCCACCCACATCCTCCTTTGTTGAAGGCTCTGCTAAAAATGACAGATCTATCCAGGATGGGTCCGGGCGAGAGATAAAGACGTCTTGCTCTGTTCTCTACTCTGTCAAGCAGTCGCAGATGAGAGGGGGGCGGGGCAAACAAGAAAGTGGGGGCATACTCAAGGTTTGAGCTTTTAACTTGGGGCCTCGTACAGGATCTTGCAACCCTACTGTCAAGCAGATGCGAGATACGGCGAAGTGCTTGTAAGCTTCCTGGCTGCCTTGTTTGCAAGATTTACAACATGGTTCTTCATGGTTAGTTTGGAGTCAAATTTCACCCCAAGGATATCAACTTCTTCTCCAGGTGCCAACATCGTCCCATTCATCCTTACTACTGCACCAGCATTACCATCATGGTGCCTAGAGACGATCATCATTTGCGTTTTCTCAGGTGCAATGTTACTTGCCATCTATTTTCCCAAGCTGATATAGCTCTCAGTCGGTGATTGATGTAGCTTAGAGCAGCTGGCATTTCTTCTCTTGGATAAGTGAATGTCAGTGTACAGTCGTCTGCATATGCATGTGATTCGGGGATGAGATGAAGAAGGTCGTTGAAGTAGACATTCCATAAACAGGGGACCCAGCACACTTCCTTTGGAACGCTTGCCCCAATAGGATCCCTTTGCTGATTCCGTTCCATTGAGGACTACACTTAGAGATCTACCATGAAGGTAATCACTGAAGGAGACATAGCGTAAGCCCTGCAATTCCCAGTGCTTGAAGTTTTGCTAAGAGGCCCTGGTGCCAACCCCCGTCGAAAGCGCCAGCAATGTCCAGTGCTACCACACAGTGACTTTGGATTCATCCAGTGACTGGTTGCCACTTAGTGGAGAGGTTAACAACAGATCAGCAGCAAGTAACCTTTCCTGAAGCCATATTGACGATCACAAAGTAGTGAGTGGTAGTCAAAAAATCTGTCATTGTCTTGAGATTATGTTCTCAAGGATCTTATCAGTGATTGACAGGAGTGACACTGGCTGTAGTTGCTGATTTCTGCTCTCTCTTCTTTTTGTGAACAGGGCTACATTTGCCCCTTTCCATGGAGGGGCCATTTGCACTGTACTAGGCAGTGCTGAAAGATGCGAGTTAGAGGTGCTGCTAGCTCGTCTGCACATCTTTTCAAACAATCTTGGGCTCAACTTGTCTGGGCCCACAGCCTTTTCCTGGTCAAGTGATTTAAGAAGGAAATGCACCTCCTCCTGCCTTATTGTCACCACTGACAGTTTTGACACAGTTCTTGGGAGCTAGCCAAGGAGGGTCCCTTGCTGGATCAGGAACTTGCATTTTGGGAGCAAAGTGTTCAGCAAAGAGGTCGCCTTCTCTTGACTACTAGTAGAGGTGGTCCCATCCTGTCGATTTAGAGGTGGAATAAGTTCATCAGGGAGATAAAACCCTTTTCTGTCCTTGACCAGGGACCACCAGGTTTTGGAGCCTAAACCCCACCTGATGCCTAACTTTTCTTTTAGTGTCCACCTCCCATTTTAGCAATGGCTCACTTTTGAACATCACCCATATGCCTACAGGCTTGCATGTGCAAGTTCCTGTTATAGGTGGTAGGATGTCTCTTTTTACCCTTTGCCATGCTTTGTACTTAGCAGTAAGCAGCCTCCTCTACAACGAAAGCCAAACCAAGGCTGATCTGTAGGCTTTGTCACATATTTCCGGTGAGGAATGTGTTCTTGTTGCAGATTAAGGATGTGTCCAGTGAAGGCTTTCACTTGGGTTTTCAACATCCCCCTGGAGAAGAGCATTCCAGTCGGTGGTGCGAGCTCGAGCAAAGGGCTGGCCAATTACCTCTTTCCCCCATAGCCAGGTTGTGCGTGTGGGGCTCCTCACCTCGTTCTGTTGGGATCTTAAGTGTGGTAAAAACAGCCTTGTGGTCAGACAATCCAACGTA